TCATAAAATTCAAATCAAAATTTATTTCCATCAATAACATAATTTACTGAAGTTTTCCATTTTATTTTGAGATACTAAATTTCATGTCGTAAAATTATAGAATAAGCCTTATTAATATTGTAATCAAGAATAAATAAAATAATTTTAATTCAATTGTAATCTAGAAGTTAGAAGTGAAGCTTAATAAAATCTTGTTAATAAAATAAATCAAATAAATAAAATTTTGATTTTCAATGTTAATAATAAAACGAGAAAAAAATAGAGTTGACCTTGTCAACTCTGAGATACCCGTACGAATTTGTTATCCTATGTGCGAATAACTAATGTGCCATAACTAACTATGGGGCAGACTATGACTTTAAGTTGCCGTATTACCATATTAATTTATGCAAAATTTCAGTACTATGTGTTATTCAAAATACTGGTTGTGCCAAACTACTATTGATGTTGTTTGGCAGCTACCAGAAAGAGCCAAGAAATTTTAGTGAATTTTATCAAGCACATCGGCCCTACTAATATACTTACTTGTGTGAAATCTCAATATCACAGCTTTTATAGTTTCTGAGATATAGTCAAATAACTTTTGAAGTTGTATGGCAGGTACCAGAAGAAGCCAAGTAATTTCAACGACTTTTATGAGACACATTGGCCCTACTAATATATTCGTTTGTGTGAAATTTCAATACCATAGCTTTAATAGTTTCTGAAATATAGTCAAACAACTTTTGAAGCTGTATGGCAGGTACCAGAAGGAGCCAAGTAATTTCAACTACTTTTACCAGACACATCGGCCCTGCTAATATATTTACTTGTGTGAAATCTCAACATCACAGCTTTTATAGTTTCTGAGATATAGCCAAATAACTTTTGAAGTTGTATGGCAGGTACCAGAAGGAGCCAAGTAATTTCAACGACTTTTATGGGGCATATTGGCCCTACTAATATATTCGTTTTTGTGAAATTTCAATACCACAGCTTTTATAGTTTCTGAGATATAGCCAAATAAATTTTGAAGTTGTATGGCAGCTACCCGAACCGGTACCCCGATCATGTCCAATTTAAATAGGGTTCTGGCACTTACTACAATAAATCATTTGTGAAAATTTGGTGAACTTAGCTCAATTAGTTTTTGAGTTATCGTTCGGACGGACGGACGGACGGACGGACGGACGGACGGACGGACGGACGGACGGACGGACGGACAGACAAAGCTAAATCAACTCAGAATTTGACGCTGATCAAAAACATACACTTGAGTCTATATCTAACACCGTTATTTCTTAGCGTTACAAACGGTAAGGCAAATTTAGTATACCCTTCGAACATACGTTCGTACGGGTATAAAAACAAATAAATTCTACATTTTTTTCCTAAGACCACTCCTCTATTGTTAAATGGGGCAGTCGGTAGGATCTGAAAATTGTAGATTCAATGCGTTTGAACTTTGCAATTTTAAATTTCAATTAAATTAAATAAAAATCGTGAATTAAAATTCAAACATAATAATAAGAAAAAAAAATATACAATTCACATAAGTTTGAAACTTTAAAATCTAATATAAAGCTTTATAACGAGAAAATATCTTTATTTTGAGTATTAGACTTAAAATAAAAAAATAAAGCGAAACATTATAAACAGAGTACAAAGACTCTAATAACAGTCACAGTGCGGAAATAGAATTATCAAGTGATTTACCGGTGGTTCGAAGAACAATGGTTTCTTGTAATATTAAATTCACAACTATCATTTCACTATGGACAACTATTGCTACATGCAATTAGATATAAAATATTTAGACCAGCAAACGAAGTGCTAAATATGTATGGCACTTTGTTAGATTGGAATAAAATTAAAGAACGCTTAATAATACATTATGTAGAAAAAAGAAATTAAACTTCTTTAGTTAGAGATCTACACAATTGTCGCCAAGGTAATAAAATCGTGAAGCAATATTATAGTGAAACCATTGAAATATTCGCTACTATAAAGAACCACATAAGCATTCATGAACATAATCACAATGTTATTTAAGCAACTATTCGGACAATCAGCTAATCATAACAATTTTCTAACTTTTCAAGAAATTTCGATAAACCATAGTTTTAAGTTTTATTTGTAACCTTGAATTAAGTACAATAAAATTCTGGATAAAAATCCAAATGCGATTAATGTCATTAACTTTAATTAAATCATATGTAAGTTAACGATAGAATCGTACATAAGGTAGTACACGCGAGTTACATAATGAAACCTGTACAGGAATGAACAGGTTGGAAAGGACCTGTATAGGTATGAACAACCACACCCGAATTTCTATCGACATTTTATACAATTGGAAAGAATAGAGAAAGCTGCATTAACGAAGATTTTAAAGGAAAAATTAATACCATTACTTATCAATGGAATCAAAATACCGGAACAATTCATTCATCAATTTAAGAAGTAAATACTCTTTCCGATGGCTAGTCGAATAAAAAAATACGCATATAATTGTGATATTTGCAATATTAACAAGTATGACCGCCATCCAAATAATCCACAATCATTAGGAACGTCGGTTCCAACCTATCCAGCCGAGATTCTACATATTGACATAATCGAAATTAAACAAGAGAAGTTCATAAGTTATATCGACAAATTCTCAAAATTCACCAAATTCTTCCGTATAAAAGATAGATCTGTTCTTCGAATAAGGAATAAACTCATCAAAATTATCCATTAACCGAAAATAATACTGATGGACAACAGGTTTTGTCAACCCGGTTGTCAAAGACTACTTGAAAACGCTTGGTATTGAAATTTATGTAACACCGTCACAAAGAAGCGGAGTCAATGGAGCTGTTGAAAGAGTTCATTCCACGATCATTGAAATTAAAGGATGCCTTCAAGAGGAATTTAAGGATCTCAATATGAAAAAAATAATAAACGTCGGCAGTAGACCAATATAATAACTCCATACAATCAGTTACAGGAAAAAACCAAATGATGTCTTTTTCGGAAGATCGCAACGAATAAACTACCAAAACTTAGTGAATTTCAAATTCATGGTCAATGAGGACTTAGTAGATCGTAATAAAAAGAGTCAAAAAAGGAAAATTGAGAGAGATCAACGAAAGCGAAAAGCACCTAAATAATACCAAACTGGAGAAACAGTTTATGCCGCAATAAAACAAATAACGGCAAAAACAAAGCCCTTGTTTTAAAAAAAAGTAGTGGCGAATCGAGTTACCATCACAACTGAATCAGGCCGCAGAGTTCATAAGGCCCATTTAAAAAACTCCAGTCCAACTAATTAAACATTTTTCCCTTTTCAGACTAGGGATGTTTGCGTTAGCAACACCCTTTCTAATTCACCAATTTGACACGCAGCTGGTCATCATCAAACAGGGCGTTGGTTACATTTTGAACGGCAATTTTCATCTAGTCCACAAAATAAATCTAGAAGACTACCAACCAGTCTTGGAATTAGTTTCAAAAGAAGTACAACCCCAACTCAATCCAAAAAAAACAAATCCAGAAGCTAATGGCGGAACTTGTTGATGGAAGAAAAAAAGATTGAGGCGCTCCATTAATTGGTTAGGCAGTGCATGGAAATGGTTAGCTGGATCTCCAGATCATACAAACTGGGACGAAACCAAAATGCCATAGTCGAAAATAATAATCAACAGTATAAAATTAACTATGTTCTAATGAATACAACACAAGAAATTATAAGAAGTTACAACGAAATATCTAGTCAACTTCATGAACATACACAATATGAACAAATTCTATACAACCGTTTATTATCAAAGCATTATCAAAGAAGAATTGGAAGAAGTTATAAATGCAATACAACTGCCAAAAGCGGAGGTTAGTAACACTAATATTACGGAACAAGGAGGAAATACTCTTCACCAAAAATTATTACTAAAGGTACAATAGTGCTGTAAGTTATCACAGTGCCAAAAACCGGTGGAATTGACTACAACCACATTCAAGTTCGATTCACAACGGACAACACAAAAACAAAAGACTTGGAATTTAAGGACCTAACCAAAGGAGACACATTCGGTATTACAGAACCTTGTCAGAACTATGGAAAAATCATGGCATGTAAACTTTCACAAATACAGAAGCTAAACGAAGACAATTGTATCAACCAACTAACTAAAAGCTCGCATAAAAACTGCGAATACCAATATAACAACCAGGAGTAAATTGAAGTAATAAATGACGAAACAATTTTTTTTAACAACTTTAACGGTAATGTCACTGAAAAGAATGTAACAAAGGCTCTATCAGGAAACTTTCTAGTACAATATCACAAGGAACAATAAGAGTGAAAAACTTCACATTTTCCAACAAACAGATATGAACAAGCCAGGTTCTACTAGCAGTCATGTATCCAAATTCAACAGAAGCAAAAATGAGAATCAACTTGAGCTATCTATACAGCTTACACTTCGACAACGTGAAACAACTACAGAAACTCATCACGAATGACATGATTGGAATTACCACTGACATCAGTATAACATCGGTTATTATCTTCGTAGCAGCAATACTGGTAGCAAGAAAACTTATGACGAAACGTTCTACTTGGATACCACCAGTTATAGAATCAACCAGAATCCAGGTAAATGATATCATAACGGAGCCAAAAAGCATTGAACCAAAATAAAACATAGATCCACGGGTAGTGGATTTTTGAGAGAGGAAGAGTTAACGATAGAATCGTACACAACGTAGTGCACACGCAATACCAAAAATGCTGACGTTTCAATGGAAATTTTCTTACAAAAATTTTCCCACAAAAATTCCTTTTAAAATCAAATTTCCTCATTTTTTCGTTATTTTAAAATTGTAACTTGAAACTTTTATTTTTTAAGTAAATTTTAATTTTATATTCTTATTGCTTACTTTGCATACTTAGCAAAATTATTGCTCACACTTTTAAAATGCAAAGTAATCAATTAATTAGTATAAATAGAATCAATTTGTAGAACAGAGTTTAAGTTTAATTTTGTAATTCAATTGAAGCACAATAAAGATTTGGATTAACATCCAAATAAATTCTTTTTTTAAACTTCAAACGAATAAACTTACATCAAATTACATTTGAATTTAAAAATTTCAAATGGCTTTTTGCAAGTGTGAATAATTTCAAAAGTCAAATGATTGAATGTCAGTGCCAACTTTGTAGATAATGGTCAGTAGCGGAAACATGTGATCATCATATGACATTTTTAAAAAAGGCCACTAGTTAATATTTAATAATCAATAGAATTAAAATAGAGAGCTGCACCCCATATACCGTGAATGCTCTTGTTGAAACTTACAGGAATGGGGCGTTAGATGTGTTTATAAGAGAACTAAATGGGGACCTCTCGCGCATGGTGATAATCCAGAGACCACTCAAACTACCTGAGGCCTACTGTTCTGAAAATTCGAAATCTAAATTTCTGAAGCATACCAGTGCACAAGAGAAATTTCTACAATTCAATAGTAGCTCGGTGAATCAAATGAGAAAGCGACGAGCACTCTGGATACCATGTGCCATCCTGCTTCAACTAGTATTGAGTTTTTCTACAACGGGTGACCGGGGAATGGCTACTTTGCCATAAGTGAAGAAGAGGAAAATGAGTGGCGAAGCGAAGAAGCGCTTTAAAAGGCTGCTGAACAGGGGGATTAATATAGGTGAGGCCAGAGAGGTTTTCTTGAAGCCTAATGGTACAAAAAAAAGGAATAGATTTTACAGCTCGCTAAAGGCAACAGACAGATCTGATAAGCCCAAGCTGGAGGTTAAATCGAAAAAAAAAGGTTCCCAGAACAGGCCAAAATCATTCACAAGAAGAAATAGGAGATATAAAGGACGTTGGAGGCAAAAAAAATTGCCTTTGGATCCTTTTCAGATGTGGCGAAGGCCTTCGATCATTAGCGTCATCATTTTTAGTTTCATCGTACAACACGACAACGAAAGTATTCAAATCAAAGATAAAACTCTCGTAAGCTCATCAATAATAACAAAACAAGTATTAGCTGCCCTATTTCAACAAAACTTCTCCAAAAAGGCATAAATCTCAACTTGGACTATGTGCATTAACTTCACCTTAATAATTGAAATGAAGTTAATGTGCATTAACTTCATTTTAATCATCAGCATCATCGATATCTTCATAATCTTACAAGCAAGGGAGCGATCAAAGCAAGTAATTATCGCAACCTTACAAATACAGCTCCCACTTGAAATATCATACAACTTTAATCTACAGGACGCAGATCTTTAGAAGTGGAAGAGTTAGGAAAATATCATATTAAATCAGCATACTAGAATTACGTTACGTCACACACGCAACATTTTCATACCTTCATGAAAACTGCGAGTGCATATAAGAAACATCAAATCTAACCAAATCTAATAAAGAACGCTTCGACCAGCTAAAACGCCGACTCTACATCTTTTCAGCAGGCAGAAAGTAAACAAGTGCATGACATAACGAATATTTTTTTCAAGAATGAAGTGCTGACGCAACATTTTCATTACGGAACATGTTGGATTAGTATTAAGAATTTTATAAATAGCCTGTAAAAGTATTTTTTTTTTAATAAATCCCAGCAACTGTTTAACTAAGATGTACATACATGTATAAAAACATATCTATATAATTAACACATTCGTTTTTTTGCCGAATATTATCATACAAATAGAATGCAACACCGCAGTACAATTCACAACAATGCAATATTTTATTATTTCAACACAATTATTCAAACACAATCAAACGGATTTTTTTTTTGTTTTTTACCTAAGTATTTGTGTTGAAACTCTTAACTTTATTCAATTTAGTTGTTAAATTCTAGCACAATATAATTAAAACGCTTATTTATAATTTAATTAATCAGCTGATTAGTAACATTTTTTTTGTAGTGCACGCTTTTCAGTTTCGTTTTGTTTTTCTTTCTAAACTAATTTTTTGTTTAATTTCTATTTTAATGCATTCACCTTATAATATTGAAAACAATTTGCATTAAAATTTATATATAAAAAAATTGAAAAATATTTTGTTTCGTATTAAATGGTTGTCTTGTCATTAACGTGTGCATTCTCTTTCTTTTGGCTGCGATCAAAACGGATTTCTGTTTTTTTTTTCTTTTTTTCATTTCTTATTTTTGTTTTCTTTTTTAAATATTGACAGTTGACCTTCGACAGTTTTAAATTTTTTTTATTATTATTATTATTATTATTTATTTTATTTATTATTACTACTATTTTTTTTATGTTTGTTCGACGATTTTATTTAAAAATATGATATTTTGAAATTTAAATATTATGTTTTATTGAAAAATCAATTAGTATATAATATACAGAGAGAAGAAAAATATAAATAAATAAACGCATCCAAACAAGTTCATAATAATGTCATACATGTACCTACATACATACATTAGACATTTCAAATATGTGTGGTAATAAAATGTCAAAAATTGAATATTTAATAAAATTTATTCATAATTTTGATTTTCTTTCAACTCTTTTTTTTTTTATTTTTAACTATAATTCACTTTTAATAGTCATAGGACTGTTGCTATTAGTAATATTTTTTATATTATTATTACTTGTACTATCACTGTCACTTGTACTACTACCATGATAATAATTTTCGTCAAATATAATAGCATACCATTCAAATAATTTAAAAATAATTAATGCTAAAAATGCAAATTTCATGTATAGTGTTAGAATATCGTAAATTGCTAATGCAATTCTTTTTATAGTATCCATTTTGATTTTTTACTACAAATTCTAATTCTAATACGAATTGAATACTGCACACTTTATTCACAAATGTAATAATAATGCTGGTGCTGACAATTCCTTTACTTTTTTCCTATACAGTGCGCTACTTGTTAAATTTGACAGTTTTAACTTATTTCAATAGAAATATTCAACAACTCATCCTAACTTTTAATAATATTTATTATTTAAAATATATTTTGTAATATATTTTTGCTACGTCATTATCTATTGCCGCTTATAATATGCTTGCATTTTCAATATTTAAATTTTTATTGTAGTGCATAATTTTGTTATATTTGTTTTTCTCTTTCAATATTTGATTATTGTATTTTCTCGGAAGTTATTGATCTTTTGAACTTAGTTTATTTATTTAGAGAAAATAAAGAAAAAACAAATAGAGAAAAAAAACAGTAGAAAATTAATTTCCTTCCTCTCGTTCTATCTCTTTCTATACAACATTAAATATATTATAGAAAATTACAAGAAGAAAATCAATAAAATAAAAAATTTATAGCAATAGTAAAAAAAAATGCCTACTACATCAATTATGTATTGTCAAATCAACATTAAAATATTTTGTTGCTGAGAAAAAACGACATTTTTGTCGCATTGCAGTAATAATGATAAAAGAAAAATTTTTGTTTTTATTTTCTCTGATGTTGTTTTGTATCATACAGACTGGTTTCACTTATTGCAAATGCTTTTCTGTCTCTCCGCTGGAGTAGGTATTTTTTACTACAGCAGTGAAAAAATAAAAAATAAAAATAAAAAGAAAAAGAAAATAAATAAAAATTTAATGCATTAAAAATTTTTAAAATAAAAAAAAAATTTTTAAATATAAAAAAGTTTATTACTTTTACTGGTTTACCTTTACGATCAAAGCCACCACACAATCAAGTAGAGTGCGAAAAAAAAATTACACAAAATAATCGAATCCGCCGTACCTATTATGCAATATATGAAGGTAAATCTTTTTTTAACCAACTTTTTTTCTCTTTTTTTTTTGTTTTTGAAATTTTATATGTATTTTTGGTTGTTTTTTGTTTTTTCTTGTTATATTATTGTTGTCACTATAGTACGACAAGTTTATTTCTCAATAACGATATTGTCTGAAGGAAGTTTGATATTTTTATAATTTTTTGTAAACATAGTTTTTGCACCTCTTTTAAGAGTTAAGAGAGCAAGTAAAATTCGAAATAGAAGAAAACGAAAATCAAAAATTGTAAACTGCTGAAGGGTTAAATTATTTATGGTATTTGGAAAATTAACACACAAAATTTCATAATTTTTCATTAGTCTTTTTTTTTTGTAGTATACGAACCTAATAATATCGTAATTTCATAATATGTGAGTATAAAAGAAATAGAAAAATAGTAAATAACCGTAATTGATATTTGTATGTGATTTTTTGACAGATTTTTGTTTTTCTTTTCCTTTTTAGTTTGAGGCGCCACTGCTTTCAATTCTACAAAAAAATAATATTATAAAATTATTACAACGTTCACACCATATAATTGTATTTACACTGTAATTTTTACTCTTGAACTATATAATTAACTATTCTTAAGTTAAGTTCGTTCCTCTTTTTGGGACGTTGTAATTTTCTGTAAAAGAAAAAAATAAACATGGAAATAAAATTTAATAAATTGAAAAAAAAAAACATGTAAGATTTTATAGCTAATTTAAAAATTCAGTATTACTCAAAATAGATGTAATATTAAATTAAAATTTTTGAATTTTTATATTAAATAGAAATTTTAATATAAAAATAATTTTGTTTTTGGTTATTGTTAATAAAATATGATTTCATGTTTAAAGTTGCATGTAATACAAGAGTAAAACTTTATGTAATATTTTGTAAATACAAAATTATTTTACATCATATAGTCACATAAAAGTGTTAGTAAGTATACGAAAAAGTATAATGAAATAATTTTTTATTTAATTTTATTATTTATAAAAATTTTATGGCTTACAAATTTGGTGTACCTTTTTTTGTCGAGAAATTCTTCTCGAATAAAAAAAAATAGAAATCTATATTTTTGACTTGCAAATGCTCTCAGAAGGAAATTAAAAATTTTCTAAGGAAATTTATATTTTGAGAAATTTTCCACAAAATATTGAATAAATTTCGCAAAATTATATGTGAGCTATGGGGTACTGTTTTAAACTAGGAAACTGAATTATACTCTATAGTGCTATATACTTACTAGCAACCTTATAAACTTTGTTAGAGAAATCATATTGAGCATAAAATCCTCACTTGAGCATAGCAACCCAAGAAATTAGAAACTCAGTCCATAGCTCCGACTTGAGCTCAATCATAATTTTTTGGCCCGTATAAGGATAGACGTACAAACAGGCAATATTATTATTAAATATTAAAATATATAATTATTGTATAATATTAATATCAACATTAATAACCATTTTTAATTTTAATTAAATAAAATTGTTATATATTTTAAATTGTAGAGCACTGAATCATTTTATACATTTAATATAACATTTTTAGTATTACACAATTCAGCTGGTATGAGTTGCTTTGCAAAGTTACTGAATTATTAGTTAATACCGTGGAATTGCAATTTTAAAGTTAGGAACTCTAATATTTTACTCTTCAACAAAAATATTAGTTTTTCACAAACAACAATTTTTACTACGTATGTTGCACTGTAAAAATTTTTTTGTGAAATTCTTAAATCGAAAAAAAAATTATCTTAATTTGCAATGCAATTATTTGAGCACCATTCTTATAAAAACATTTCCGGTACAAATATTGCAAAAAAAAAATTTTTATAATTTTAAAAAATAAATATACAAGTACGGTTAGCCATAATTTTACAATAGCTTTGTTAAGTGATTTTTTATTTAATTAATTTCTTTAAAATATGATTATATGTAGACATTCTAATTGTAGTTGAGTTAGTATTTTAAAATATTCTACTTAATAAGTCACCTCCGAATACAATATTCAATAATTATATAAAACTAGCAACTTTTGATTTATAAGTAATGAGAACGTCATTACTAATTTATTTTCTTATTGGTCATTTAAAAATCATTAATAAAATTTCAACGATTTTTCTTTCGATTATATTTAAACTGAATACATTGTTTAAGCAAGTTTGTGCATACAATTATTAAGAATAAATCAATCCTTAAAATTATATCTTACCCATACACCACTCCAAGATGTTGGCTTAAATTGCATTTAATATTATGATTTTAATAATAATGATTAAAAATTTTATTAATAACCTACAACATAAAATACTTTTTCAAAAAATTTCTCATTACGAGATTCTTCGAAATTTCGCTCTCAACCAAATCGCAACTAAGTGACGTATGTAGTAAATATAGTAAAATCACCTTCATCATGCACTGAATATGTATATGAATGAATAAACATATGTATATGAATGAATGCATATTATAATATGAACTTTACACGAATCATGATCAAGTATGTAGAGTGTTTCTTCTTATAAAAATTAAAGGCAAGTATACATGAATACGTTTTTAAATTTTATAAGAGTGATTAAATTAAAATCTACCTGTAGGGTGGAATAAGGTAGGTTCAAAATAATGAAATGCTTTTACTTTATTCTTCTTTAACGTTTTTGGATATATTTCATCTTAAAGGCAAAATATTTTAAGGTTACAGTAATTATTACATAAGCATATCAAGGCGATGCAAATATGCAATATGAAAAATGAAATTTTACATGACACGCACAAAATAGGAAATTTTTTAATATCAGAACTTTTATACAAGTGTAACTAACAAGTGTAATAGCTTTTGTGAGGATGTGAAACAGTGTTTGCTATATTATTAGTGTAATATAACAATTAAACGTAACTGAGTAGAATAAAATTATTTTGAAAAATATTCTTAGGTATTTGAAATACTTATATGTTTTAATAGCGGAAAACGTTATAGTTAAAGAAACTCTTAATATTCCGACTTTCAGAGCTTACGTAATTTCAAAAATTTTTCATATCTTTAAACTCATGTATCTTTTGCACATTAAATTTGTCTATCAAAATGTAAAGCCTACTGAAAATTAATTGCTACAAAATAGACTCACTAATATATAATCTAGCTTATCAATTTAATTTATTCACTAATTAAAACTGTATTGCTAAATAAGTCGATTTGACCTTAGATCAGGATTTTAGTAGACACCCTTTATTCCCATTTACAGTTTAATTAAAAATTGTAGTAAAACACTCATGAGGACACTTAATTATTTAATATACATATGTATATTTCTTGAATTCCTGAATGTTGAATTCGAATTCAAATTTAACATTTTATTACCGTTCTCATAACAAAATTTCATACAAAGAGGCCTAAATTAATTTAAAAAATTTTTTTAGCATGTTTACATGTCTTGCTATTTTACAATAAAATTCACCACATCATGGGGAGATTCACCTCGAATTAATTTTAATTGAAATATTTTTTTTCTATTGTGATTTCAAAACTACAAGATTCTCATATAATAAACATTTTACATAAAATTTTAATTACTAAATGAATAAAAGAGTCAACAAAATATATTTTTTAAAAAAATTAGAATAATTATTTAAAAAAAAAAAAAATTTTAATGTAAATGTACAATATAACTAGATATTCTAAATTCAAGGTATTTTCATTAATAAAATTTTTCATTACCATTTTTTTTTCACTTTTATTAAAATCAATCAAATGATACTTAAAATTTATTTGTTTCTATAATATTATGTTATTACTACATTAATATATATATATATACATTAAATATTATAATATTGTGTTATTAAATTAAATTTTATTACTTAACTTTACTAATTCTCACACTAAAATGAATCTATTATAATAATGAAATATTATGAAAAAAAAACTATTATAAAATTTCCATAACAATGAATTAAAAGTTTAATCATAGATTTTTTACACAAAATTTTTAATTTTCTCATACTTGTACATCTTTAGTATAGTGAAGTCAGTCAGCTTTTTAACAATTTTACACAAGATTTCAATATAAATTTTAAATTAAAAAAGTTACTAATTTCTTTTAATATTAACTGTCAACTTAAATGTTCATGAAAATTATGAAAAGAAAATAATTTTTAACACCCGCAACAAAAAAAAAAAATCTGATGTGGTCAGCACATAACCAATCGCAACGTGTATTGTTTAGTTTAGTGCAAGTCTTACAGCAGATTATGAAAATGCCTGTTGAACACTTTATTTCAATTTTATGAAAATTAGTAAGATTTCCGTTAACATACATAAAAAAGTATAAATTTGGCTCTTGGTAGAATTTGGCTAATTTCGGTAATAACCAGAAATCAAATATCAAATTTCAAGAAATTTCAAAAAATTTATTGATTCATTGTTTTAACACATCGAATTTAAATATTAAGTTTCAAGAAAATAGGTCCAGTCCCCGATTGACTGATTTTGGGAAGTTTAATATATCTCAAAAGTTGATCAATTCGTGCTTTAGCGAAAATAAATTCATACATTAAGCCGAAATTGAGCTACACACAAACCAATAGACAATGTTTATCTACGCTTCCCACCGAAAGCTCGAAAACCCGAAATTTAGTGCAATCACATAACCTCTCTTATTGTATGCAATCCAGTCGGTAAAAATATACAAAATTAATTAATATTTAAAATTAAAGAATGATTAATTTTATACCCACTTAAAAAAAAAATTATAATTTATAAATTTATTTCCCAAGAATTGTTAATGAAAGCTTTGTAAATCAACTATACTAACTTAACCAATAATTATGTTTATTATCAGAGTGGAGTCCAGACACCGTTTCGGGAAAAATTTTCGAAAGAAACTGAAAATAATATGGAAATAATTATGAAAAAATAACAACCCGACGAACCGCAAAAACTGAATTGAAAATGATCTCAGCTTAGAGAAACATGATTTTTAAAGTTCCATTATTATTATTATAGTAATAACAAATTTTGCAATATTAGCAAATAATTTTGCTGCCAAAAATTAACTGCCGCTACCTTTCTATACTTAATAATTAGAAATTAGATGATTTGTGGCTGTAAATTATTTTGTAGTGCAAAACCTCAAAATCGAAGTTCATTATTTTGCATTTTAAAAACAACAAATACAAGAGAACTATTACAATTTCTGTGTCAATAATAGAGTTTATTGATATTTCAGGGAACAAACTGAAACTAGAAACAAAATAACGTAAGATTATAATTGTAAAATATTTAAATTCAGACATATTTATGAAGGTTATTTTAAGAGAATCTGGATAACTCGTCTATAAAATAAACTATATATACAATAAGCATATATGTATATTAAGAATTAATTACTTTTAAGCTGATTTAATTAACATTGAAATGACCACATTATAAATAAAGACGTCATTCACAAATTGTTGGCAAATTAATCATACTAAACTAACACCTCAGATGTACTCATATAGGTTATCCAATAATAAAAACTATTAATTCAAGTAAATTGAGAAGATAAGCACCTTCCCCGACAAAATATCCGGTATATATTTTTCTAAAAAAAACACATGTATACTTTAAAATTAAATAGCAAATAATTAAATAAATTAA